GTTTAGATTTATGGCTTTGTTTTAATTCTTAAAATAAACTTTCACATTTTTTAAAACTATCTTCACTTCAGTACTAATATGCTAAGTGTCGTCTTTGAAAAGAGATCAAACTTAATTCTGCGCTCAAGTTTGAGGTGTATGCTGAAAAAGTGAATAAATGGATTATAAACATAGCGTAAATATAATTTAGGATCATAAAATAAGGATCATTTTAATCGTAAAATAAAAAAATATGAACTAAAATATAGTACAATCATTTAATAAAATAAAAAATATTAACATTTTTGATACATATACATATACATCCAACTGCGCTGGATCAGTCGTGTTAATTAGATTGTCTTCTGACCGGATGTCACTGCTGCTGTGTGTTCGGTGAGCTCCCGCAAGGACAGCAAACTGTGGACCGCCCTAAAACACATTATATAGATCATATGAAAGTTATACCGAAGGCATCCCAGACATCCATCAAAGGTCTGGCAGCTGACAGAGTCCACCTTGATGCCTACGAAGCGGCCATGTCCCAGGCGCAGAGGAAAGTTGTCAGCGCAGGCATGGATGCTACATGAAAGGCCACAGTTTTGCTACATAATGTTCAAACATGGATGTTGATGTGTGTTATTTGAGTTCACGTTGTCACGCGTGAGTTCATTCGTGTCTTCTGAATGAGAACATGTTTAAACCTGAGCAGGGTTAGAGAGGTAGATTGAGAACTGAATGAATGTTTTAGGTTTAGGTTTCGAGTGTGTTAGCAATCAAGAAAAACAGTAAATCACTATGGACAAGAGAGATTTTGATTATAATTGGGATTTGAACATATTTTTGTTTAAAATGCAGATTTAGAAGAACTGTGGTCTGGGATAACCTACGATTTCAATAAGGAGGAGCTGATATGGGAGCCGCTGTGTCCTGTCAAAGTGTCAGTTTCTCTATGCCATGTTGATGGAGGAAAAAGCTGCCGAGACCTCGGACAAGTTTTTCATTCAAAGGGGGAAAAAGTATGTTCTCATCCTCTCTGATCCTTTGTTCCTTTTTATTACCTGTGTAGTTATAGCTGCTGATTGTCAGGAAGGAACCCTTTCATCATTTCTTACTGTTTTTATACCCCAGGTGATATTCTCCTCTGTGGATCCACACCCTACTCTTTGCACGAAGGTAGAACGTTTTTTATTGCTTTCTTTCACCCAAAAAATGAACATTTTGTCAGAATTTTCTCAACCTCATGATCCTAAACGTGTGGTTTTTATTTTTCCTTGGTACATTAATGGAGGAATGAAGCAGTATAATTCCTGCTGCTCTATACTAAACGTGATGGGACTAGAGCTGTCATGTTACAACAATGTCAACTAAAAACATTATAGAAGTTGTCCATATGACTATATCCATATTGTTCTCGTGGTATATTACAATTAGCTTTGAAGATAATGGTAATCGTATCTAGCTACATAGCTATACTGGTGGAGAAGGTTTTCTGTGAATTTTAATGAAAAAACATCTTATAATTTAAATTATGGTCTATTCCTGCAACAAAAGTTATCAAACGGCTTGAGTTGTTTAGACATGAAGACAGAATTTTTATTTTGGGGTTTTTGGGTGAATTCATGGTCATTGACAAATAATGATGTCATTGAAAATGGATTATTGGGTTGGGTCAGAATTCACAGTAATGATATTTTTCTATTTTATTTTTTACAGTTTACTACTGAAGTGGGGACATGGATTAAGTGTCCTTTTGCCAAAGGGAATTTCTCAGGTAAACAAAACGCTACCACAGTTAACAAAAACACGTAACAATTTTTTTTTTTTTTTTTTTTACGAAATTACGGTGTTTTTTTCTGTAATTATAGTGCAAATAAAGGGCTAATAAGCAGATATAGGCAAATTATTTATAATGTAATTATTTTTCAAATAAGAGTTACCTAAGAAAAAATTCAAGTACGTCTGACTATTTTTTACATTGACACTGAATTTTTTATTTTTACGCTGACACTGGATTTTACAGGGTAATTTTGAGTAGCTAATCTGTGGGTTGACATAACATAAAGTAATATAGTAAGAAAAGCCAATAAATTCATTTTTTTATCATGCTGTGCTTACATACAGCCATATATATATATATTATATGTTTAAGTTTCTACCCACATATGTCAAAATTACCCTGTAAAATTGCACAAGAAATGTGATGATAACTTTTATATACAACAGAGTCAGACGTACAGTTTTTGCCTGGAATATATTAACAGAATAGGTACTTGTTATTTTTAAAATAATTACATTATAAATATTTTGCTTGTCGCCTATATCTGCTTGTTACCCTTTTATTACCCAAAACTTAACATATTGTTCCCTTATACCTACACAGAAGTACGCTTTAATTACAGAAACGTACACCGTAATTTCGGTGTACTTACACGTTACACACGTTGAAAAAATGTTAGATGAACGTCCAATTAAAATGTTTAAGAAAAACAAAAAGTCCCATGAATGTTCCTTTAATGTTACTGGAAGAATGTTTACACACAACTTACTACCAGAACGCCCTGAGAACGATTCCTGTTTCCTAGGACATGTTTAGCAAGAAGTTGGTTTATGTTACACACTGTATGATGGCTAAATGACTTTAATGTTCTATCTGACAAGTCTGGACAGCAAAGGTGACATCAAAAAATGGTCAGCAGTGGGCAGAGATATCAACATGGGTCAAAGCCAACTTCTCAGTTTCATTGTGTGAGATGGAACCATCTTCTAAATGCAAACAAATCGAAGGAAACAAGTCCCAAACCGTTTCTGTGGTAAGGAGACATTTACAGAATTATCAGCATGTAGAATTCGTCATAACATCTTCAGAGCAATTGTACATGATATGATGTCATACAGTTGTTTTTTTTCATGAATTTGTTTTTGGGTACTCTCCCATTCATCTTAGTAAATCATGCCTTGAGGCTTCTATTGAAGGCAATTCCCCTGTCAAAGTAAAGCTTTTCACCTGTTTTGTAGCTGATGACATGACAAAGAAAAGGGTCTTTTCTAAGGAAAACAAGGGCAGTCTTGTTTAAGCTTGTTTGATGTTATGCCAGTTCTTATTTGTTTTCTAGGACAGAATGAAGTTCACAGTTTTCAACTTGTCTAAAAATGCATGTGAAGTGTGTGTTTGCATCCAGGTAAGACAACAAAGAGAGTGACAGTGCTGATAGAACTTGTTGGATTTATGCCATTTATGATTTATTGATGTAAATTGTTTCATGTTTTCCTGTGCAAAAGGTCCAGAGGATAGATGTGCACTTCTCAGTCCCTGTACTTCAGTGCGACGTGCAGTGTTGTAAGTACATAGTCTATAATGGTGATGAGGTTGGGGAAATTTGAAACTAAGTAGTTCAATTACAGGAAAGCTAATCTAAAAAATGTTAGCTATAGTGTATCAAAATAGTGAGCCCGTTCTCATCCCAAGGCGTCATATACGATGCTTTTGCCAAAGCGTAGACATCCAACGCACATGGCACTCTGAAATATACTGGCCAATACTGACTGTGCCTAAGGTCAGAGGTCCTGTCCCATACGTTCCCGAAAATCAACCAGAAGCACGTGCACACATATATTTTTACCCACGCAAGAGGTTCAGCAAAAAAGCACATGTCTCAAATCACCTAGTAATCTCTACTAACAATCCATGTAAGATTAAAATTTCCACAACAGGGGAATACAATGTGGGCAAAAACATAGCAATGCAGCTTTTATGAATGCTAATTGAATGCTAATGAAAATCTGAGTTAAAGGGGCTATGTGTAGGTTTTTACTTAAAGGGATAGTTCACCCAAAAATGAAAATTAAGTCATTAATTACTCACCCCCATGCTGTACCAAACCCCGTAAGACCTTCGTTCATTTTCGGAACACACATGAAGATATTTTTGATTAAATTTGAGAGCTGGGTCACTACCACATAGGCACCCTCAGGGATTAAAACTTGACGGCCCAGAAAGGCTTAAAGAAAAAAACTGTTTAAATATTCCATGTGACTACAGTGGCTCAACTATAAGTTTATCAAGTGACGAGAATATTTTGTGCGGAAAAAACAACAAAAATAACGACTTTATTGGTCTATTCCTTTTCTTCCTGTATCGCAGATGCGAACCGTCATCTGCGATACAGCTACTTACAAACTGCTGTACAAATTACAGTAAAGTTAACCTTTTAAAAAATAGTGACATGTCGCTACACTTAAGCTACTAAAAAAGTAGCTAAATACATTTTAACGTAAAATGGGATGAAAAATAAAGCAATGGAGCATTTACATTGGAGTTAGACAGTGATACAGCTACAGCCACTCAATGAACCATTTTTGTAACTTAATTAAATGCTATTCATTTTTTACAGGATTTTTAATGATACAGAGACCTCTTAAATTTCAAAAGATCAAGGCAATTTTTATTTCTCGCTTCACTACAAGCTAAAAACGTAATTAACTACATTATAAAGTTGTGACCACAAAGTAATGCAATGCAAATGTATGCGGTGGGTTTGTAGCTTTTTAATAGAAAGCTACTGGAACAGCTAAACTAGTTTCATGTCAATGAAAATGTTCAATTTTATTTTTACTATATTGCCACAAGCTATTAAGGATGTGCTTTTTGTTGTTTACTCACAGTAAATTGGTGTCGTGCCCAGGAGAGAAGTCACTTTCAGGACATTGAGAAGATCTTTCTGTCTGCTGTCATTTTTCTGACAGTGATCCTGGCAGCTGCCTTGTTTTGTAGATTGACAATCAAAGGTAAACTGACAGCGGTTTGACACACCTGTTGCCGCTGGCTTGAAGGAAATGGTGAGAATGTTGTTGGTAACAGTACACATTTGGTCTGAGATGATAGAATCCATGTCAAAAGAATTCTAAATTTAGGATTAATGACCATTCCCAGTCAAAATAAGAGTAATAATAATAATTAAAAGCAAATGCCAGATGGAAGGCTTCAACTCAAGTCAAATAATAGTAGACCTACCAGTTCCAAACCCGCATTTATGCGAAACGAATTGGGTGTGGTTTTAAGATGAAAGACATAAGATGCAAATCTCTGATATACTGGTTGCTAGACTCCATTTGCTACTGTTAGTATTTCTTGGAAATATCTTGTGTTTTATTTACATGTGTTTGTTTCTGGTTCAATAGATGAGGACAAGAAAAGAAAAGCATGGATGAAACTGACATGTCAGGGGACGGTAGGTTAACCAAGAAGATATGATGGATAATGAGTCCTCCACAGCATGCTAGTTTACTATCTATGATTACAATCACATGATTCGTGGCATCCCCGGCGTGAACAGACATGAGCCCCCCACATGCTCTCTTGAGTAGTTACTTATTTTGAAAATTCTTACTTCACAACAGCTGAAAAAGTATGTTCTACATAGTATCAGTGTGTTATTATGAATATAATCCAGGCATACTACGTTCGCCATGTTGTCATTATCATGTGACCTACCAGTGTCAGTTCTTGTGTCACTTCTCTGTCATTCATAAATCATATCCGGTGGCCTCATGGGATAGTAAAGTGTCCATTGTTTGCACACAGAATCTCACTGGAAGTAGTACTTTTTTCTACTCTTTTATGAGTACTGTGGACATACTTAAACTGTTTTTCACCTATATATAGTAGGGAAGTATGCGATCCTTTTAACTTTTACCTAATATGTCTTATGTTCCTTTTGACAGAATCATTGACATGTCTGCGCAGCAAGTGAGGATATGGATTATGGGACGGTTCTCGATGAAGCATATACATGTCTTAAAGTTTTTGTTTTTTTACTGTAAGGATTGAAACTTTAGCATAATTTGCATGTCTTGTCTGATGCACACATGGAAGTTGTAACATCTGAGTCATGCATTTAAACACATTTGTTTTCAATAATGCAAAAGCTGGTTTTAGAGTTTATTAGAATGCCAAAAAATTACTTTATTCACAGATTTTAAAGCATTTGTATATAAAAAATGTATGTAAGACCCATATAAGACTGCATTTGGTGTGACTAATTGTTGCCTGTTATTTCCTGCATGGCATAATCTAATTGGTTTGCTATCTGTGAGCCACTACTTGTGTACAGCAGAGGGCAGTCTCGTTCTCAAATGAATGTAGGTATCAGCAGTGTGAATTAGCTTTTGCTTCTCATGTTGATATTTCTCTCACGTCAGGCTTGTAACTAGGTCACAAATGGGTGGTCAGCTTACAGACGCTTGTGTAACCCTGTCTTTTGGTTCATTGCCATAGAAACTTTTGCGACTGCATATGTTTCTGTGTTGCCTTTGCCGTCTTCATTGTTTATAAATGGCATACGTCTCTCTGATCCTGAGGATGCAGAGGCTGACATTCTTGGATTGTGCGGCTCTTTGCTGATGGATGGGAGGGGCCTGGTGAAATCAGCTCTGGGGTTTACTGATGAAAACATTCTTGAAGGATAGAGTAAGGCCCAAACCCAAATAGAGCTCAATCCCTGATATAGGACAAATTCAGGTTTGGGGAGATATCACCATCATCCATCTCAGTTAGTGATTCTATTGTGTTTTTATGAGCATAAATGGGGCGATTTTTTGATCATACCTAGAGTTCACAGGGTTTAGCTCACCGCGTGGTATGTGGGTGTTAACGCTAGGGAGTTTTGACTGGTGTAAACACTGTAAAACAAACCCATGTGAAAATTGTTGGCCCCAATGACCTCATTGCTGCCTCCAGACTCCACCTGCTGTCTGCGAGTCTTCAGCTGGGAGTGAAGCATTTTGATACTTTCCATAGGGACCAGACCGCTACCTTTTCTGTACCTCCCCTACAGAATGTTCGACTGATTGTGCTGCTGCCGAAACGTGTTTGGGATAAAGGGATAAAGCACTGAAAAAAAAAGAAACAGAGACAAAAGCATTTGCTGAGTTGTTGTATGTTTAGCTACTTCCACTAGTGACCGCCAGTGACCTTTTTGGTTGGGGTCAACAGCCACCAGCCCTGTCCTCTAACCTTTGGGTTGGTCAGTTTTATTACCATGGACTCATACCATCTGTGGGTTTTTGAACCTATAAATCCCAAAGCAGAGAGTATAATTCCATTCTCACTTCAGAAAATGCTCACTTGCTCACTCACTAAAAATCAATATACTAGTATTGATGTGGAACTTACTTTATGACTGATAAAATTATATGTTTGAAAATTGTATTGTGTCGTATGACTGTGTTACATGAATGAAATCCGGACTTACTACATCCACCATGCTGTCATTTGTACCATTGCTTCACTGTCACAACTCCTCTCCCATGGCCTCATAAAGTGTCCAGCAGATGTGCACTTCAGAATCTCGATGGAAGTTATAATCTCTGGGTACTTTCCATGTATTGTTTTATGAATAGGCTTATTATGAAGAGTGCACTGTAGGATGTCCTAGTTTGTAGCTAGTATTCATGAAAAAGAAGTAACTATGTTTTTGCTATTTCGTGAGGGAATTTTTGCTTCAGCAATAAAAGGTGATATTTGATATGTAATTTAAAAGACACTATGAACATGTTTTCTATACAGTATTTACAGTGTGAACCAATGTTCTGTCATTTCTAATCAGGCACCGCATAGAGGAACCATAAAAAGTTGACTCAATTGCTTTTCGAATAGACTGAATCACTTTACAAAACGAGTCAACGTTTTGAGTCAAATCTGTCTGGTTAAAGACGTACGAGAAAGTGTGTTGTTTTAAGTGACAAAACTCAAATTTAAAGAAATCAGTGATAGTTATAATGTTGTATAATGTAAAATCACATTTAATGTTGGTTCATGGGTTTACCTCAGACTGGTTCACCCATTTCACCTGAGATCAACATGTGATTCGGTAAGCTTGTGAAAAGCTCCGAAGAATTCATTCTAATGATTCATTAAGTGAATCGCGGAGCATTGTTTGGACCTGGCCATTTAGAGAAGTAAGTTAACGTAATTTGTTAGTTGTTGAATTTAGTAGGCTACGTCATAATCTGAAAGTACGCGATTATGGACGCAACACATTTAACGTTAAATCAGACGCGAATGACTCATTGCGACCAATTAAAACTAAATTGCGTCCGTTTAAACTGGAAACTTCCGTTGTAGCGTTGTTGTACAATTGGTGATGTATTTCTACCTCCAGTTTAGTCATGTGTATAATCATTTGTGTCATAATTGTTACACATAACTGTGTCACATTGTAGTACTACGAGGTACGAATGATAATTCAACACTTTCAGTGTAAATTAGCTTAAAGACTCAAACCGTTGCAGACTGAGGCATCAGTTCATTTCCAGTCAGAAAAGGCCACTTATATCGTGGATGGAAAAGGAAACCATTTAAAACATTTAGGACGTGGTATACCTGACTCTGGCAGATTTGTCTTACACCTAAGAGAGTTAATCAATATTTCTATTTGAAGTTTTTGGAACAGATACTTTTTAGCTTCATCTAAACACCATAGAATAACATAATGGAGCATTGGAAAGCGAAGAGGAAGGAAAATAGCCCATAAATTCATGGTCCGGTGCCTCCAAGGACATCATAATGGTCTAATGGGCACAAACCCCTGTGGGGGTGGTAGTGGGGTCAGGTTTGCATTCAGTACCCTGGTACCATCCATAATGAATCTTCCTCTGAGTGGAGTCCAGCCAGCTCACTAAAGTACAAACCAGTACACCAAGGCTCTTGTCTAATGGTGATAATGGTCTGCTGGCACTGGGCATGGAATCCATTGCCGAAACAGCCGGAATCACAATGACATTGCTTGGCAGACAAAGAGATAGGTGGAGTCAACTTTAACCTTTGGGACTGCATGTATAACTATGGAGCTGTTGGTGGCAGATGTCCAACATGACATGCTACAGCTATTTTGTTTAAATTAATGGTTAAGTTGTTGCTTATGCTCTGCTTTATGACATTTGCAATAAAGTAATCAATTATTTAAGCAATGTGTATTTAAGTTTAGGGCTCAAGAAAGGAAAAAGAAACATTTAGGGGCCAAATAATTCTTTAGGTTAACTGAATGGCTTCATCCGAAATCGCATATTTCACGACTGTGTAGTAGATGAAAATGTGATGAGAAGACTGTCTGAATTCACATTATTTATCAAACTGTAGGTGAGAAGTACCCAGATGACTTACTTCTGGTGAGATTCTGAAGTGCATATCTGCTGGACACTTTACTATCCCATGAGGCCACGTGAGAGGATAAATGAATGGCAGTGAAGCTACGCAACTGATGCTGGTAGGTCACATGACAATTACAATATGATGAATATAGTACGTCTGGATTACATTCTCCACACATTGATACTATAACATACTTTTTTAACAGTTGCAAAGTAATTACCCATAATAAGTATTTGATTTCAGACAGTCCACTTGATGAAGAGTGAGGTTCTAAAGCGCTTCAGTTCACTGAGTGCATAACTTCTCACTTTATCGATGTTGTTCTAGCTGTATTCACTGACAGTGTAGTGATCCTGATTGTATTTGTGGCTTATAAAGTTCACTGTTTTGACAATTCATTCAGCAGTTAGTTCTGATTGGACGAGCAGCGTTCAAATACGCTGATAAAACAGTTTGACTGCACTGTTTCTTTTGTCATTATCGAGTGCACTCATTCAATCCCATAATGCACTTCAATTATGAGTGTATAGCTGATGTACATTTCCATGCACTGTGTTTTTTGTATTATTTAACCATATTAATGACTGGTGGGTGATCTTTTATTCCCTCTCCACCTTATTTTGCACAAGTAAGCTATTTTTACGGTAGCAATATCAATAACACTTATCAGCCACATCCACTCGAGCACTACAACCACTATACATTCCGGTCGAGTATTTACACAGGATCATTAGGATTGCCAAGTCACTGCTTGTCAGTACATGACGGTCCTTCTCCACCAGTGATCACACATTCCAGGAAATTGCATCCATTGAAAAAGGTTCTTTCCTAACACAGTGTTCCTCACAAGCTCTTTGAATTACAGTCCCTTGAGGGCTTGTGGTGGTAGTTGATATCACTGAACAATTGAATTGTTCCTAGACTTGTTGAGACAACTTTACTGTATAATTCACTCCATTTGGTAATTAGTTTGCTACATGTTTAATTACATTCCTCAATGGTGCCTCCAAGCCATATGGGAGAATATGTAATGCACTTGTCAAATTGGCAACCGTTTGATTATTATTATTTTTTTCATAACAGACACACCAATGAAAACATTTCAAAGACGTTTCAGACAAACATAGCCTTTTTGGCGTCTGCATATCTCGACCCAGTGTTATCTGACTGTGATTTATGGTCCCGCATATGTTAAACTCAATGTTAACCAAGTCTCTTAACCAAACCCACCGTGCCACATGCATAAATAGATCAGTAAACGATCAGTGATGAATGACTCCAAAGCATATGGAAATAGATTTGAAATAAATACACTTCCCCGCCCCCCACTGACCACATTCAAACTCACTTCTCAGATATTCATGAGTCCACCACCACCATATTGTCTGGCCATTCTGAGACTTTGTCTCATTTTTGGACAAAGAGGACAATGGGATAGACACCTGTTACCAGTCTATGGGCGTAACAGAGACATCATCCTGCTGCAATGTTCCATCCATTCTGGGCAGAAAAGTGTCCAATTTCACAGTCTTCCCTAATGATTTTTAATGCTCATATTTCATGCTTTCTGTGACATTATCTGTTTGGCCATGTAGATTTTTCCTTGCACTTTTCAAGTGCCTTCTGTTTGTTTGTTTGTATAGGGCCTGTGGACACACTCATTACCCCACCACCCAATGTCCTTGGAAGGCCCCTGTAGAGTTCATACAAGGGGGTCTGAACAGATGGTCCCTGCTGAACCCCCCACATCGGACGCTCTCTTCACACTGCATCACTGTCATTTAAGCCAGTTGCGGCTTTGAGGTGGGAAATTGAGGATATCTTAAGTTAATTATATTAAACAACCAAGTTACTACAAGAATTCATACAGTCCAGCAACATAAATTAATCAGAGGTGGTGGCAAAATGTAGGAAAATATAGAGACAAAAATGCCCATTTTGTTCTTTAGCATTGTATAAAATAATATAACTATTATTTAAAATATTTTATTAATTCAAAGTATATTTATACAAAATATATCATACAAAATAACGTGCCCCCATAAACAAGCCTAATTTGCAAGGGACAAATATTGGAAGAAAAAAGTCAAGTCTTGCTATGTCAGAGAGACGTAGCGTTTTTTTTTTTTTCTCTCTCACAACATTTCCCAAAACTTTCCTAAAGCTGACAAACTTAGAGTGGCTAACTTATTTTAAAGATCGTTCCAGCAACGTGTTTATCTGTGCGCTGCACATTTTATGGAAAACAGCTTGTTTTCTGTTGCTTTGTGAGCTCTCGCTTACCGCTCCTTTGGAAAACTATGATTACTGCTTGTATTACCATAGTTTTTTGATCAATATCACGATTAAATGGTGTATAACATTGTATCTATAATGGTTTAAAAAAATAAAAAATCACAACACACTGGGCCAGCTAACCAATCACAGCACATTTCATATTTCATAAAAAGGGGCGTCATCGAAATCGGCGTGTTCGAGCCAGAATGGGGAGAGAGGAGCTGTAATGTAAATATGTGGAAAAATAATGCTTTTTTTTTTTAATAATCAAGTGTGAAAACATATTCTAGTACACCCTAACCCTAAGTGCATAATAGGACCCCTTTAATGCTAATTCATTCCTTTAAAAATCTTTCTGACCCCAAACTTTTTAACAATAGGGTATATTTGGTATTATCATAAAGCATATGCAAAACTATAGTACTTACGTGTACAAGTTTTCAAAAAGTGCAAAAATAAAATATTTGAAAAATAAACTAAATAATGCACATTTCCAAGTCCATATTCCATGTTTGTGTGAATCCTTTAACACATTTTTCTGATTTGACTTCTTTTTTACATGTGAGCCCTACTCATTGCTCTGGTGTATTGACACCTAGTTGGGGTAATTAGTGAGCAACAGGGGCGAGGGGGGATTGACAGCAGCACCACTCCTACTACTTAATTATCTCACTGGAGAGAAGCGTGATGTCCCCAGCTGATTTCACCCCCCTCTGAACCCATGTAAATCCACCCACACATACATTTATGCAGACACGCACTGTTAAAAAGGGCACATTACGCACATGCTGTGCTATTGCACGGCTATGACATCATGACTTCATAACAGTGTTACAGGGAAATAAGGCTTCTGCATACAGTCATAATGATGTAAGATCAGATTAATGGCAGTGCCCCATATGTCTTTGAAATAATCATCATTACATCAGCATGGAATATCATGTTTCCAACGGGGTCAGATCTGTTTGTGCAATAATGCCACACATTTAGATCACAAAAAAACGATGTGCTCCCCCGAGCACCTCCAAACATTACTATTCTTACAAAAACTGACATATTTCATATTTTGAAAATAAGTAAGAAAATAAATACA